TGTGTGTCTGTGTGAGTTCTTTGTGTTTTTAATCTCACTGTGTCTTTGATTAAAGCTCTGGAGGTGAGTTGTGTTTACACCAGAGGTGCTCATATATCAGCGTAATGTCTGCCAGCACTGATTAGTTCATAGAGCCTTAATATTGGCGGATTTCATGAGCTAAATGATATATTGGTTGGGAACGTGTGTGTGAGTGAGAGAGAGTGTGTGAGGATAACAGGTGGTTAAATGATAAATTCATTAGCTAGCTGCAATATGCTGCCCATTCCCATATTTTGGTTGCCCAGAAACCTAATAGGCTAAATAGTGAAATCTAAAATAACCCCAAATTATGACAAGGAGTTAGCTAGTTAAATGCGTTCTTACAGACTAATGAAAACTTGAATTCCCGGGGAAGAGACACCTCTGCACAGCTAATGTCCTCATCATGATGTTCAGGCCATGAGCTGTGAAGTTCGCATTAAAAAACATTGGTCATATCTTTTTTTTCCCTTGAATACGGTTTGTCACGTTGCACCGCAAAAAAGGTTTTGTTGGTCATCCGTACAAGTAAGGAATAAAACACTTGGGGGCATGCTGTTATAGTAAAGTAATCAGTGATGGATGGTGTATGAAGCAGAGTTAATGTTATGCTGCTGAAGGTGATTATTTTTCTGTAATAGCATTTCCCTGAGTGTTTTATTCCTATGCTACAGCAATTTGCCAGTGATTACATTTTACACCACTTAGCTAAAGCTACTCTTCTGCCAGGCAACTACGATTAAAGAAACAGAGAACTCGGGGACGATTAGCTTGTCCCAAGTGCATTCACACAATCCAACAAACACAAATCACTGCACTCCAGACACTGCACCAGAACATCACGGCTTCACCAGCAGGAGTTTTAATATATTAAAAGGCACAATACGGACCAACACGTCCGCTGTATAGTGAAATCTAATCAATAGAGAGCAATTTATTTACATTATATAACCATTGTGTCCATATTGCCAGGCTCTGCTCGGATGTGCTGGAGATGAAGAACCTTACTCTGCAGTTTAGGCGCCAAGGAGGACTCTGTTTTGCCCAGTCATCACTAGGTTTATTGTGTGTGTGTGTGTGTGTGTGTGTGTGGGAGGGTGTAGTTGAAATGTTGAGTCAGGTTACAGTACAGCTACTTTTTGGCTGGAAGTTGTGTTTCCTGAGTGGATGGTTTGTGTGTGTCAAGCGGTTTTGTTGGAATGAAGTAGGTAATACTTTAGTGTGTGTGTGTGTGTGTGTGTGTGTGTGTGTGTGTGTGTGTGTGTTGGTGAAAAAAAGAATATGTACTATAAGTCTTTGGGGCATAAATAAACTGTGATGAGTCAGAGATATTTCTGGGCTGCTCCACCCCCTCACTCGCTCCATCAGTGCTGATGTATGAATAAAACAGATGGGTGAAGGGCTAGACGTCCGTTTTCACTCTCTTTCACTCACTCACTCTCTCTCTCTCTCTCTCTCTCCCTCCCTCTCCCTCACTTTCGCTGTCAGCAGTGACAGTGAAGGCAAAAAAATCTCTACACTGACAGAGACCAAGTCGGGGAGTGAGATATAGCCAAAATGATTTATCTCTCTTATACTACAGCAATTTGCCAATGATTAAAAATGTTTTTTTATTCCCTTATGTAATGTTGTGGAACATCGATGAAACAAGTTCCTGTTCTCACTTACGTTATAGCAGTCATTGCCTCACCAGCCTCTCTTTTGTCTCTCTCTTGAAGTTAAAAAGACAAAAAAAAAAAAACCCTGCAGCTGTTCATGTTACAGAGAAACCGCAAAGAAGCGTAAACTCCTCTGTCCTGAAGATGTCGGAAAACTTAGTTACAGCTTTACCTCTGACTGTTACAAAGCGCTGACACTGGAGACTCCTTCCATACATCATCTCCATACAGAAAACATCCGCAATATCACCGATTACACGTGTGTGTTTTTTTTTAAATGTGGAGTGTCTGCTGTACAAGTCCCTGTGAATGAGCCGTTACTATAGTAACGATAACGTTTTAGAACGAGTGCATTAATATAAACCTGGGATTTGCATCTGCACTACCGTCAGAGCTGTTATAGAAAATTAAAAATAAGGAATTCAACATTAAATTAAAAACTGATCTTGTATAGACATTTCTATAGGAACTCAGAGCAACAGTGGGAGTTTTGTGGTGTTGGATTGATCCAAATGTAGTTCTAGTGCAGCAGATTTCTGTGTCCAAACACATTCTAGGAAACTTTGTCCTGACTAGATGAAAATTATACCATTGATAAGCCTGGCTTATACTCGCTTTTAACGAATTCCATGCATACGCAAGATGACTGCAGCACATACACTATACAGCCAAAAGTATGTGGACACCTGAGTATAAGACTTCCGAGCCCCTGTGCATTAATATGGAGTTGTTCCCTCCTTTACTATTCTAATAAGCTCCACTCTTCATGGCTGTGGGGATTTGTGTTCATTCAGCTACAAGAGCATTAGTGAGGTCAGGTGCTGATGTTGGGATGTTGAGGAGGTCTGGGGTGCAGTCGGTGTTCCAGTTCATCCCAAAGGTGTTCACTGGGGTTGAGGTCAGGGCTCTGTGCAGGACACTCGAGTTCTTCCACTCCAACCTTCACACACCATGTCTTCATGGAGCTCGCTTTGTGCACAGGGGCATCGTCATGCTGGAACAGGTTTGAGCCTCTTAGTTCCAGTGAAGAGAAATTGCAAAGCTACAGCATAGACACTTTATATACAGTTGTGTACTTCCAACTTCGTGGCAACAGTTTGGAGAAGAAACACATATGGATGTGAGGGTCAGGGATGCACATACGTTTGGCCATATAGTGTATGTTGAGGATGTTTGGAGCGTCTCTTGTTCACGTCCTCAGAAATTATCACTACACATCCATGTGGTGCAATACCAGTGTAAACAGTGGAGGCAGTATAGCACCACTAGTATAGCACTGTGTTCACAACTGACTAAACAAACTAGTGTTGTGTCTCAAATCCCATACTTATGTAGTATTCTAGACTGTTATTAAGTACAAACACTAACTGGAGTTTTGATTTGAGATGCAGCTCATGACAACAATCATGACGACGACAACACAAAGTTTTAAGAGCGACACAGCTTGACAGTGTGTTTAATGTCGCTGTGCTAAACATTTTACAGTTCGATTTGAAAAGCTGACAGACGGGGATGTTTTGACGCTGACGTGCCAGCTAGTGGCTGTCGCTCTTCCTCCAGATGTACATAAAATGCTTAAGCAAGTGTGTGAACAGTGCTGCTTGTGTTGCCACTGCTTCTGCATGCACACTCAAACTAACGCATGAAGTATACACCAGGCCTTATATGAAATAGTGAACATTGTACTAAAATTTGGTCTAGACTTTATTTGTTGTAGAAAATTACTGGTATAGCTAATTTCAAAGCCTATGACAAAAAGGAGTGTTGAAATGAGCCACAAAGCTCTCTTTAAGCCACAGGTTCCTAGCCGTGCTAAAGGTGAACCTCTTGTCCTGCACATATTTTCTCTGCTCTAACACACACACACACACACACACACACACACACTCTTCAACTCAGGAAGGGCTGTTCATTAGTTGATTAGTTGCATCAGTTATGTTGGGAGCAGGCAACACTAATATGTGTAGGACAGGAGGATCTCCAGTGATCACTGTGGTTCTCCCAACCACATGGTTAAATGCATTGTGTAACAGCTAGTATTTTATCTGTATTATACTGTATTTAGCTAGTATTTATATGTATCAGTATTTAATTTTTTTTCTTTCTTTCTTTCTTTCTTTTTCTTTCTCTTTTTCTCCCCCTCTGTCTGTCCACATCTCAAGCAGCAGCCTGTAGTCCGGTCCAGCCTTTTATGGCGTTAACAAAAGCGCCTATCTCTCTTACACTGGGATAAGTGCTCCACTCAGTTGTCAGTAAATTGTTGGCAAAACAAGGCCTGCAGCAACCAAAGGGCTTCCCCATGTACACACACACACATACATCTTATACAATGACCACACATATACCATGACCAAACCTACAAACAGCAATGAATTTAATCTTTTCTAGATATAAGAAGTGTACAGAATGCAAGAACATCGGGTCAGCAACAAGGGGGCTGGGATCGATATGTGTATGTAGTAAAGAGGAGAAGCAATCAGTCACAGATTGCCAAAAAAGTAGCTCTAATCCGAATGCTCAAACTAAACAGAGGATGAATTACAGCTTCCAGGTGTGTAGCTTGCCAATTAGCACGCAAAAGAAGATCATTCTTGACTGAGTTGAACTCACTCCAGAGTCTCTGTAGATCTGCCATGATGTGCACCTTGGAGTTCTTGTAATACAGCTGCCCATGTTTTCACACTAGTTGAAGGACCTCTTCTTTGACTGGGAATAGAAGAAAATGGAGCATAGGTTGCGGAGGCACTCCCGCTGGAGGCTTCAGGATCAGTGATCTGTGCACTTGCTTTAGCTCAAGCATGTGCAGCTTGTGGGATACCAATGGCGTGAAGATTGTTTCTCCGGGAGCAAATTTTCCAGCTTTTCCTTATGTTGAGCAAAGATTTGCAGTGTGGCTCAAGCTTGCTAAGCTGTTTTTGCATTAGCTAAAGATGTTTCAGTGTTTCAAATTTTAGACCTGAGTGAGCTAATGTTGGCATTGAAGGTTTTGTGCGAATACACTTTGGCAATGAATTCAGATTTAAGTGATAACATTTTTTCCTCGATAGTTATCAAGACTTCCTGTAGTAAAGCAGCAGCGTTAGCTGCCACAAGGTGCAGTTGGTCACTGCTAGCTTAACTCGGTTGACTAACTTCATCAGAATCCAGTGATTCTGTCAAATTGGGCTTAAGATTTGGCATTTCAGAGGTTTTAAAATTGCATAGAGTTAAGAAGGGAACTTAAGATGGAGAAAAAGTAAAGGGTTGCTCTAAAAAGGACAGAGACTCCAATGTACACCTCACTCTGTGAGAACCACACTGGAAGCCTTTATAGTTCCTTGTGGGACTTTGTGGTGTTGTGGTAAAAGCCTTGTCTCTCAAGTGAGAGGTTGCTGGTTCGAATCTGGCTTGTCCCCAAGCTTGGTACCCTGGTTGATGGTGGGTGGTTGATGAGAACAGATGGTAGAGAAGGGGCTAGTGAGGAGGAAAGGGAGTGACTGAGGTCCAAAAAAGAGAGTGGGTTGTGAGTTTTTACAGTGCTCCCTCTCTATTAAAAACAAAGCCAATAATTCTCACCTTCCATCAGACCCTCTTGACACCTCTCTGCTACTGCTTTCTCAACCTTTGCCTCCTATATTCTGAGGACCTGCAGCATCCTCAAGCTTTACCACTCACCATGTCCTTCTTACTCCTCATATTTTGGAGTCCTGTATCTTCTTTGATGCATCACATGCTGCAGTATCCTCAACCTTTGCTGTTCACATAGTGGAGACCTGTGTCTTCCTTGACACCCACCACACCACAGGTTCCTCAGCCTTTGCCACTCATGTAGTGGAGACCCACATCTTCCTTGATGCCCACAGAGTCCTCGACCTTTGCTGTTCACATAGTGGAGACCCGTGTCTTCTTTGACACCCACCACACCACAGACTCCTCAACCTTTGCCATTTGTATCCTGGACACATGTACCTTTTGCAAGGCCCCTCATGCTACTGGTCCTTTACTCTTTGCATTCTGGAGACCTGGGTGTTGTTTGAACCAGTAATCTCATCACCCAGCGACAACACTCATCCAGTTGAGCTATAGGACCTTGTGTTAGGAAGTTTTCTTATAGGAATTTTCACTTTTGGTTTTCTTTGTCCCAACCCAATACTACAGCAAAAGAGGGTTTTGAACCAAGGTTCTCATATATTAGAGACCAGGCCCCTAACCACTACATTACAGGTGTAACTTGTGTGTTGGACTTTTGTCTTTAAAAAAAAATGGCTCAACTGCTTGAGGCAAAGAGAATATCATTAGCATTTTTGGGGATAAAGAGTTGGTTCATATTTTTTAGCTCCCAAAAGATGATGTTCAGCACACAGCACTCATCATGTCCCCTTAATTTCTCTCAGGAGTGACTGACTGACTGGTTGATGTCATTTGGATTGTCCCTTGTTTTTGAAAATATTACAAATGGAAGCATAAATAAACATGTCTTTATGGGTCTTTGATTAATTAGAATTAATAGTTATATTATACACAGTAGTTAGAAAATGCCATATCTGGGCTTGACCCAACAACCTCTAGTAGTAAGAACCATGTTGTTAACCACTATGCCACAGAGTGAATGATGTGTTGTTTGGTTTAACAGAAGACTTGACAACAGGAACCAGAGCACACATAAGAACTGATGGTGTATAAGGAGCTGGTTTAGCTCTCAACATGCAGTTAGCCAAAGCACCTTGGCCATCATTAGCGCACTCGTCCTCCATTGTCCATACTTCCTTTCCTCTTGGGTGAAGTCCCAAACTCTCATATGGCTTATATTATGTTTTTTAGTGCAGGTAGGAAAGGGAGTCAGCATAACTGTAAATTCCAGAAACCAATGCAATCTGATGGAATAATCTTCAAAACATGGGTGTTTCTTTTTATAGCAAGTAAGCCAAAGTGATGATTTTTTTAAAAAGAAAATGCTAGAGCATTAAGAAAGGCAAACACATCCCATTACAGTTTCACAATCTATCACAATTCATTACAGCAGGACATAGTTTGCATCTTATACACCATGTGCTCATAGTCCACATTTCATCTCTCCTTCTTTAACACCCTTTGTGACAACAGTTTACCCAGCCTTTACATATACCTTCCTCAACACCTACTGTACCAACAGTTCCCAAACATTTGCCACTCAGATCTTAGAGACCTGAACATGCATCATCCTCAACACCTATTATATTTCACCTTTGCTCCTCATTTCAAAGAGAGTGGGCTGGGGTTCAAACCAGCAACTGATTGCATGAGAGGTGAAGGTCATCCAGTTGAGCCACAGGACCTCTTAGTAGTGCCTCCTCTTAAAGGACTTTTCACTTTTAATCTAGCACTAACGCAAAAGCAAAATCAGGGCCTCCAACTAGGGGCATCAAGCCTCGGAGACTATGATGCTAACCACCACACCAATGCAATTGCATATTGGATTTTTTTTGGCATTTGGCTTGTCACATCTTTTTCTGGAACATTCCAAATACCATCGTGCCATGTTTTTGTTTGATTAGTGATAATAATAATTAAGCATCTTAGATACCTTGAGAACTTCTTGCCTTACAGTGGTGTTTTTAAGCAGATATCTTGGTGAAGGAAGGCAGGGCTTTTCTCCACACCAAAATGTGGACAAATCAAACATTTTGTCTGTATACTCCAGCACTTTTGGGTGTGTCACTGTCTTTTCTAAAACATAAGACACATATATGTCTCACATGTAGCTGGTGCTTCTTCTACAGCCAGGCAACATATTTACATTGTGTATGCAATGTCTGTTTTGTATAACACCACAAATACAAACACTAAAATCAGCAAACTATAGCATTCTGTTCTCATAGCTCTTTATACGGCAGCTCCCACTCGGCCGCGTTGCAGCTGTCCTATAAATAAAAATGCCTGATACAATTTTTTTACTTTTCACATCTGTCCTGAGTGGAAAAGGTTCTGAAGCATCTGGGCCAAATCTTCCAGATTCAAATAGAAACCCTTCACTTCATCCCAATTTACTGCAGCTCTTACTTCACCTGAGAGATATTTCATTCCACTTCATTTCTCACAAACAAGGCATTTTCTATCATCTATATATTATATGACGTTATATATTTCTATAACACCATTAATATTATATATAAGAATGTTCATTTGGTCATTTTTATTGGTCTGTTGTCCTGTACTTAAAGGAAACCTCCACCCTGAGTGACTTGCATATTAATCTTTATAATTAACATGCAGTCTTTCTTGGCATCCATGATTTATTTTATGATGAAATGTTAACATTTTTTAGTTTAAACATCTTTCTTCAACATGTTGGTCTATTTTCACTCTGGTTAACGGTTTCTTACATTACCCACAATGCTGTATGACAACCTGCTGACAGTAGTGTAGTAGGACTTAGCTTCATAGCTAACTAAAGAGAGCGATGCAGCAGCACTTTAGTCCTTTAGTCTGTCCTGGTCTCTCATCTCCTCATCTGTATACACTGCTCAAACAGATCAGCTTCCAAAGCTTCAACTCTCACGCTAATTCTGCGACTTTGAGTCCAGCGTTTGCTCCAATGACTCCACACCTTCTACGCTAGATTTCTCATTAATATGACATTGAACGTCACTGGAAAATATTGAGTGAGAAAACAGGCTCTTGTTTTTTAGAAGCTAAAAGCGAAACCTGTTATCACTGATGTTTTCTGACCAGTGAATTTTTTTTCTCCTAGTACACGCCATTGTAACTGCGCTATCTTTGTGATATCATTGCAACACACAACTGCTAACTTCTCACAGGAATAATGAAAATACAGCACCAACCAAAAACATCTGCACCAGAATCACTAAACACATCACAAATATTTCAATATAAATGTTTAATGTGTTTAATGTAGCACTAGGGGGTTTCAGGGCAAGTGTATTTAGTTACAGTAATGCTACTGATATAACAAAGTGGCGTCTGTATTGATTTTTTTTTTTCTGTAAGCAGATTGAGAGTAGTCCAGAAAATGTAGCACACAAACCAGAAGTGTGTGTCTGTGTGTGTGTGTGTGTGTGTGTGTGGATTATTTAGTCAGGCTTTTATGAGGAGCAATAACAGGATGTTTAATCATGATTGTTACAGGAGTGAAGCAGGTCCACGAGGAGTCGTTTTAGTCCTGAAACTCCAAAGGTTGTGGTTTGAGCAGATGGTCAGAGAATTGCCCCCCAAGGGGAACATGTGTGTGTGTAATTGTGCACACACGCATGCATGTGTATGTAAATGTCATTTTGTAAGTTGTGCACATGCTCGTTTCTGCACTGTGTGTGTGTGTGAGATGTTTAACATCCTGTATGACAAACATTGAGATATTGCGTCTCACTTAAGCATTAATATGATTTACAAACCACACACACACACACACACACACTTTCTTAGTAACAGTTAAACCAGAAACCACTTTCTTCACTCACACTCATACACAAACACGCGCTTTGCTTGAATGTGTGTTACCACATCCGTGGCAGCGGCACAGTGGTGAACATGACCACTTTCCTGTTTTGTGTGTGTGTGTGTGTGTGTGTGTGTGTGGCTTTGTGTCGCAGACTGTTTTTGCACTGGTTTGTTTTGCAAATGTGTGTGTTACAAATCCAACCTTTAATATAATAAATTATAATAAGTAAGGAAAAAACTTGTATGTGTTGCTGTTATAGGAAAATAATTAATGACAGGGTGGTGTGATGAAACGGAGTTACTGTTCCCACCCCAAAATTGATTATTTTACTATAACAGCATGCCACACAGTGGTTTATTCTTCTTATACCACAACATTTTTACAACAGTTAGACATTTGATTTATTAAACACATTGCCTGATCATTCAGAAATAATAGCTGTTGAACCTGCAGCTTGTGTAATCCTGAAATCAGACTTAATCTGTCCAAACTAGCTGAGTGTAATGCCTGTAGAGAGAGAGAGAAAGAGAGAGAGAGAGAGAGAAAGAGAGAGAGAAGGAGAGAGAAAGAGAGAGAGAGAGAAGGAGAGGTTTAACTCTTCACCCTGATAAACATCCAGACTGTATTAAGTTCATAAGGACATTTTCACATCCATCAGAAAACACATTAATGTGCCCTGATGTTTAGTTGTAGGTGTGTTTGTTGGAGGAGATGAAAGTTTTTTATCATGTAAATGGGAAACTCATTTAAACACAGATGCGCTGCTCTCGAGCTGCTTACAGGAGAATATATTCTGTCAAAAACTCACCTCTGCTGAAATTTTTAAACGGACAGTGGAGTGTAATTTTTTTTTGCACCATGTTCTCCATCAGGGCAGAGCTCACATCAGCAGCAAGAAATGCATTTATGACAGACACTAAAGTCTCCTAATGAATGTTTCCAGGTTCTACATCTTCTACACATTCTACACATTCTTTCTTG